AAATCAAAGAATGTGGCAAAAAAAGAATAATTATGAAAAATACGCGGAAAACAGAATAATTCTCGAAAATTAAAGCTTTTCGATTGCAAATAGAGTTCCAAAAATCGCTAAACGAGGTTTTAAAAACTGTTTTGAAACATCCAACTGTTAGATTCTATTAAAAAAATAAAAAATCACAGAATTCTCGAAATTACGGGTTTTTCATTGTGAAATTGGGCTTTTAAGGCCCGAGGGTTCGATCCTAAGCCTAGAAGTGCCCCAAATTTCCGGGTTCAGGCTATGATGCCGAAATCCATTGGGGAGCGCGAGCCGGGCAGGCCGGAAAGGAAAGAGCCCCCTCGCACAGCCCGGAATAGCCGAAAGAAAAGAAAGGAAAAGCCTCTCGCCCCCTGAGGGCACACATCGATTCGAAGGAGGACGGGCTGTGTGTGTCTTTGCAGCTTTATGTTAGCATAGAGTTAGTTGGAAGGGGAGCATGAGAAATCTCAAACTAAAAAAATTTAGCACGAGAAAAATAGGATTTTGTGAATTTTCTGTCGTAACGTTTTAGCTTCAGTGGGAAAAGGGGCATGAGAAAAATTACACTAAAAAAATTGAGCACGAGAAAAATCGGGTTTTCTGAATTTTATCGTAACGCTTTAGCTTCATCTTGTACGGGAAAAATTGGGTTAATTTGACGTAAAAATTCCGGCCAAAAAGCCCTGATAATTTATATGAATGAATAAACACTTTAAAAATGTCAGTATATTGACAATAGCCGATTTAAAGGGTGTAATTTGGTGTAATTCGTAGCCGTTGACAACCCCCGTTAGTTTTGGGGTTTTTTGAAATGAGTTTTAAAGGGCCGTTAAAGGAAGAACGATGGATTTTACTTGGCGATCGAAATCTCGTAAAAACTAAAATAAACCTATTCATTAAAAATGATATTAAAAGATATCTAACGATTTTTTTGATGTGAAAAACAAGGTTGTAAAGCCTTGGAGCGCTGGCTATAGGAATAAGGATAGCTATCAGCCGCTCAATAAATCAAGCTGTCGGTGGCTCCAAGGCCCAGGTGTGTGTACGGAGTTTCCGTTTGGCAGGTAGCGGAGCGGAAAAGAGAACGTCGGCTGGGGGTTGAGGCTTATTTGTGAGTGAGTGAAGTGTGGATGTGTCACTGGGGGCTTTTTCAGTTGCCGTTCTCTCTCTCTCGCTCTCTCTCTCTCTCGCTCTATCTCTCTCGCTCTATCTTCTCTCTCTCTCCTCTGAGGTCTCGTCACTGCGGTATTTCGTCCATTTTACACCCATCGGTCAGTCAGCCCCAGGCCACCCTGAACCCCTTAATTTGAAGCCGCTTCACCCCCTGACACCTAGCCGCGAGATTTGCCACGCTATCAGAGCAGGGCATCTGGGTTTTAAAGGCACTAGGGAGGCAGTTTTTCGATGGATTTCTCAAAGAATCTCTGCTAGCTGCGGCCCGACATTAATAGGAGGCACAGCTCCCAAAAGGATCTCTGTTAGTTCGCTAACGTAGCGGTATGAATGAAGAGTTCCCAAAGAATCTCTGCTAGCTCGCCAGCGCATTAATAGACACTAAATTTCCCAAAGAATCTCTCAATTCAAAACTAACGCGCCGATAGCCAAGAATTTCCTAAAGAATCTCCGCTAGCTGGCCCCTGCAGAAATTTTCGAAATAACGTACTCGATCGTAACAAAAAAAATCAAAAACCTCGAATGCTCCGAACACCCAAAAAATCGAACACTCGACGGTTTATGCGGAATGTAGGGTATAATCTGCGGCGAGAGCTTGCAGAGCGCACAGCCAAGCAGAAAACGATGTCGTTACCAGACAATGGTGGCCAATGTATGCTAACAAAAAAAGGGATGGATGCATGGCGCGGGAAAGCAGGGCAAATATTTGATGGTAAAAGCGTGGGGATGGAGCTTGGCCCTGGGTAAGATAAGAGGTAATACATATGAGACAAAAAGGTCGAAATTATCAGTTTTAAGTGCAGATTTTGAAAACACCGGAAGCGGAAAGTTACATAACTTGCCGGAAAATCAGGAATTTGCCGGAAACGCCGGAAATGCGATAAACAGAATCAGGTAATTTGGGGCCTTCATTCTGCCGTTCGCAGAGCCGGAAAACAGACATTTTAAAGGGACATTGATGGCAGTTTTTCCGTAGATTTCGCTAAAAATCACTGCTAGCTGATCAGAGCATCAATAGGACATAAATTTTCCAAAGAATTTCTTTTAATAATTATCCAACGTTTAAAAATACTGGCGTATAAGTTTGTCTCATTCTCTCTCTCTCGCTCTCTCGCTCTCTTTCCCATCTCCATCGCGCCCTCTTTCTCTATCTCTCTAGCTCCCTCGCTCTCACACCCTTTTTCTCTCTCTCGATCTCGCTCTCTCTCTGGTTTTTAGACTATAAACTACAATATCGACAAATCCCAAAAATTTCCGGATGAAACCCATAAAACTACAAGCTACACCAAGAATAGACAATGCTATTTATGGGAGTAGCCCGACCCGGCTCGGGGCCCAGGGCCCGAAAAGCAGTTTGGGCCCTGGGCGGCGGGGCTGCAAAAATGGGCATTCATCGTGGATTCTATGGGGGAAGGGGGTGGGCCCAAATCGGAAGCCAACTGGAGAGAGCGAGGGAGAGAGAGCGATAGAGAGAGTGAGACCGAAAGAAAGTGAAAACGGAGTCTGGGCCTCTATTCTAGGCCCTTTCGCCCCTCGGGGGGCAATGGGCCCACCACCAGCCCGGCAGCCTAGAATAAACCAATAAGGTAACGGCCAGACATGGGCCTCTGGATTGGGCCTCTTGGATTAAGGAGGGTTTTCAAAGGGGGTAGAGAAGTTATAAAAATCCGGCAGAGAACAGGAGAGAGAATTTGCGCGAGATAGAGAGACAGAGCTAGAGAGAGAGTGAGAGTGTGTGAGAGAGACGGAGAGAAAGAGAGAGAGAGCAGGAGCGAAAGATAGGGAGAAAGAGAGAGTGAGAGAGAGAAAGAACGAGAGAAAGAGAGAGAGAGAGAGAGAGAGAGAGAGATAGACGAGAGAGAGCGTGGGATAGATAGAGCTTGAGGGAGCGGGAGAGAGAACGAGCGGGAGAGAGCTAGAGAGCGAGTGGGAGAGAGACAGCGCGAGAGCGAGAGAAAACGAGATGGAGTGGAGAATAGTCCATACCACCTAGTTGAAGTGCCCATTATTGGTGTTGATCAAGTGGTTGGATGTGGTATAGTGAATGAGGGTGGTTGACCTTGTTGTGCCTGTGTTGGCACTTGGGCTGTGGAGAGGAGGGCGAGCCGGGGATTAGCGCTCCCGCCCCTTCCGTTCGACCCCCGACGAGGATTGTCTTCTGACCTCTGTTGCCCATTCACACATTATAAACAGGGGGGAAGGGGATCAGGAGAGGGTCGTCTGGTCAGTAGAATGAACACTAGAAGGATTCAAACCAGAAGAGTGAATTAAAGGGTCAGGAAAGTGAGAGGATGAAGAATTCCTCAAGATCTTTGCTAGCTTGGCGATCTTAAGGCCTCTTTCTCAAGCGCTTTCACGCTTGCTCATGCTCCCCCTAATTCTCTATCTAGCTCTCTGCCGCTCTCTTTAGCTCACGCTCTCTCTCTCTATCTCTGCCGCTATCTCTCTCTCTCTCTCTCTCTCTCTCTCTCTCTGTCTCTCTCTTTCTCTCTCACTCTTTCCCTTTCTTCCTCAGGCATCTCTGCTAGCTGCCCCTCAGAAGCAGCTGTAAGAGCAATTCCCTAGAAATCTCTGCTATCTGTTATGACCCAAGAATCTCTGTCATCTACCTTTAGTTAAAGTAACATCCGCATTTCACGAAAAATTCCTCAAAGACCTCCGCTAGCATGCCAGAGCAACTGACTCCAAATCAAACTAAACGACTCTAATAATCTCTCTTTAGCCTAGGAAATCGCGGAAATTTCCTGTAATCTCTCTGCTAGTTGTTCCAAAAAAGAAGATACAAAAATAAAAACAACAATATTTATTGCACCAACATTCGGCGAATTTCGTAGTCGGGGCCAAGAAATGCAGCGGCAGATGTCGGGGTGGGTTGTCTCGGCGGGGGCCCAATAAACGGATTTACAATCTTCGCTCACTCACCCACTTCCCTCGATCCCCACCATGCCGCGGCCGGGGTCGTTAAGTTGTCTGTTTTAAAGGGGCCCGAAAGACTGGACTATGGATTTCTGGTGATTTTTCGGTGGATTTTGCCGCGCCGCGACGCGACTACGCGACGTAGCCTTCGAATCGTGAATGCACATAGAGCCATTAAGCCATGGAAATCTGTCTTTGTTGCCGCTTTAAAGGGATCGGAAAGACAAAAAGCTATGGATTTTCATAGCTGTTTTTGTAGCCATTTTATAGCTGTTACGCGAGAATACGAAATTACGGTCAGGAATTCAGGTTCATTCACGTCAAATTATACGTGGTTTTGCTTCCATATATATTTATTCAGGGTACATTTGGCATGTAATATATTATTATCATTATTCATTTTAATCTTTATTTTTCTTTATTATTCAAATTCCGCGGGCATCCGGAATGACGACTCCAGCTTGAGGGGGATCTGCTGGGAGCCGAGCTCCAGCTGGCCGACCAGGTTTTCTAGACGGCACATGTTGTCGGTCAGGTCCCGAACTCGAGCGGTGGTTGTCTAAATTTACATAGAAAATGCGTTTAAATAATTTTTAGCGGAATTTAAAAATTTTTCAGTGAACTAAAAGCTCTGCCAATTCGCCATATTCCATCCGTCCTGGCTCAAATTTTTGCGAGCCATGAGGACCAGGGTTGTTCACCGACGGACCCGGATCGGTAAGGATCCGGATCGGACCTGGATCCGGATCCGGATCGGATCCGCAGTGGGATCCGGATCCAGATCCAGATCCGGATCCGCTCGGATCCGGATCCAATGCGGATCCGAGGAAAAAGGGGACCGGAAGTAACATTCTCGATTCTGATGCTGATTCGGTCATGTTTATCGCAAAAATACATAGCCCAGAGGCAGAACTGATCTTTGCATCTAATAATTAGCACTTAACTCGGTTGCATGATCCATTTCCTTGGATCCGGATCGGATCGGATCCGCCCTGGATCTGGATCCGGATCCGGATCCGGATCCAGTCCGATCCGAAAATGACCAACCCTGATGAGGACCCATAAAAACTATATGAACTAAAATTTTCAAAGCATGATTTTGGAAAACAAAAAAGTTATAGCTTAAAAACGAAAAAACCCTACCTGCATCGAATTTATCGTCCCCTCAGCCAGCCCAATCAATTCATCGACCATTTTCCCGGCTGGCAGCCCTCGTTTCCAATGTAAATTCAGCGAATCATGGCCTATAAAGCCTAATTTGCATAAATTAATTTCCGCCCTACCCAGATTCCTCCACCGTTGCTCGAGACGCTCGTCGATATGCACGCGGGGTCTGAAGGATCAGTGGCATCGGTGGCCTGTCCTCCCTCATAACCCTCCCCACCCAGCCCCTCTCTCGGCCCATGTAGTATAGTGGTTAGTACTCCACGTTGTGGCCGTGGCGACGGTGGTTCGATTCCACCCATGGGCAACGCTATTTGCTTTTTGGGAGAATGATTGAGACCAGGGTCCCGGTCATGGTTACCTTGTTTTGCGATGTTTTTGTTGCTTGTAAGAGGTATCGAACTCGTCAAAGGTCAGATTTTAGGTGATTCAAGCGTTTCCTAGCTTTTTCCAGTATTTTTAAGCCAGTTTAAAAAATAGTAAAGTATTATAGCTAGTACTACGAGCCAGATATTCTCATAAAGCTTATTAAAAAGGAAAAAAGTTATATTTTTCATTAAATTCTTCAAAAACCCCTAAAATCGAGCGCGGAGTCCTGTTCAGCACCAAGCCACAGCCCCCAGGTGTCCTTTCTATTGACCATAGTGGCGCGCTGGCTGGCCCTCGGCAAATGTTCTCACTCTCTCTCTCTCACTCTCTCTCACTCTCTCTCTCACTCTCTCTGTCTCTCTCTATCTCTCGCGTTCCCGCAAAAATAAAAAGGGCACCGGTCAACGGTCCACTCGCCGAGGATCGATCGGGTAGCACACCCGTTTTTTTTAGGATACAATTAGGGTCAACTTTAAGGGACTGGATACCTAAACTCTACCTATTAATGCGCGGCACATCTTCTACACGAATCTCTTCGACAGCTGAAGGTAATGAGGGCCCCTGAGCCTCGTCCTCCTCGTCCGTCTCGCTGGCCTCGCCCTCGCAAACGACGCTTCGAGTTGGGACGGGGTCTACTTGAGTTCTAGAGAGCTGGGTATTCTCAAAGGATCCCTGCTGGCTACCTGGGGGCGGGGACGTTATTTCCAGGAGTAACTGGTTGGGTAGCTTCATCTCCAGAATCCTCGGGAGCCTCACCTTCGATGGTGATGGAGGACATGGCTAAGAATTAGTGATGAGCAGAGAGCGAGAGAGCGGGAGTGAGAGAGAGAGCGAGAAAATGTTCGTTTTAAAAGAGCCACCACAGAAAGAAAATCCCGTAATACCTTTAATCGAGTTATAAAAAATCTTTCTCGACTAACGAAACCCCCGGAAAACATAGAATATCATTTTAAAAACCCGTAAATGGTAAAAATACGGTAGTCACCTTTTAAAGACGCTAGGAAACCTCAAGAAGTCGGCAAAAAACCAAGGTTTTGTTTTTTAAAGGATTTAGAAAGCTTTATAAAATTTTACCGGCTTTAAAGGGACGCCGAAGACAGAAAAGAGACTGGGGATTTAGAGGTAACTGGATTTTACAGACTTTTCAAAGCCGATTTAAGCATTTTTGACTTCCCCACCCCTTTAAAACGTTTGAAATTTAGGAAATTAACAAAAAACACTGTTTGTTGGTCTCTTAGCACTCCGATACCCCGCCAAAATGCCCCTAAAAATCAATAGATACGGGCCAATCAGAGCCCCTCGCCGTGTTGCGTGTACACTGTTGCAATGCGTAGCCCGAGGCTTCAAATTATTGTTTTTGAACTTTTTATTGATTTTTCTGTCGAACACATACACACATCAATGCCGAAAAACGAACACACACAAAAATCCAGAAGAAAAAAGGGGGTCACCAGCACAAAGTAGGGGACGGGAAAAGGAGGTTTAAAAAAGGTCATTTCAGTAAATTTTTTTCGAATTTTTTTCAGGGTTGAAATGACCTGTGGATTGGGGGAAGGAAACGGTACACGTATTGCCAAAAAACATGGGTGGTATAGGGGGAAATTGGGTGGCGAAATATACAGTTAAAAGTGGGGGTATCGTAGCTTGGGCTTAGGCTTGGCTTGGCTTAGGCTTAGCTTAGGCTTAGCTTAGGCTTAGCTTAAGGCTTAGCATAGACTTAGCTTAGGCTTATCTTAAGCTTAGGCTTCGGTTACAATACCCCAAAAACAAACCGGTGCGAGACAGGAGGAGGAGAGTTGGAGAGTACGCGGGGCTACACGCAACACTTTACAACAATTTTTCTAGGGAAAAGGGGCGGTGTTTCGGATGTTTGTGGATTTTAATTTGAATTTTAACATTCTTACATCGAAATTTAGCTTAAAAAGAATTCAAAATTTTAAAAATTCAATTTTTTTCACCCAAAATTACCTTAAAAATTCCACAAAACACCAATCTACTAAAAACAACAACGCGGGTGTGTGCATGAGAAGCTGACTGTGGGGTGGAAACCGTACATTGCGCGAGAGGGGAAAACGCGCGGTCGAATATGCAAATTTCTGGATCTCCCAAAATTCTTTTTTCCAAAATTTTTTGCAGAAATTTGCATAATACAAACCGCAACTTAAAATAGCAAAAAAATTACCAACACGCGTGCGCATTTCTATACACAAAAAATCCTTTTTTTGCCGGTTTTTGCGAGGGAAAACCGTTTTTTGCCGGGGGTGGGTGGGTATAGAAAATGTGGGCGAATTCCTGATTGGGGGTACGGTAGATTTGGGGGCGAGGCGTCGAGATGCCAGGAAATCGGGGGAAATTGTAATTATAATTAAGTATAATTTACGAAATCGGAGGAGGGCTTGGGGTACGCTGAAAATGTTAAAAAATTATTTTAGGGGATAAAATTCAAATATTTAGATTTTTTGGTTGAACTATCCGATAGAGTTTTTCAAGGGCTATCCAATGATGTAAAAAGCACAAAAATTGGACGTTCCCTTAAAAAGTTATACCGTAATTTGTAGCGTACCCCAGGGCCAGCCAAGTGCGCGAGAGATAGGGGCCGATTAGAGAGACTTAGAGAAAGGGAGAGGGGCCAAAAAACATCCCGGTTAATGTGGAGAGTATCCCGCTATATCATTGGAGTATCCCGGACGAGGAGTGGTGAGGAGTAGTCGGTCGGAAACGAGGGTCAAAAAGCGAAAAAAGTAGGGTCGGGTACGGTAGGAAAAAAGAGGGAAATCGTCAAAAAAAGAGAAAAAGTAAAATTCAGGTGTTGACAAGAGTGTAGTGTTGTTGTTGAGGTGGTTTTTTTATACGTGGGTGGTAGCCCTAATGAGGGCTGGGTTGCAGCAGGATACGGTAGGATGGGTGCGGAATAGGCTGAGACAGGGGCTGGGGGAATACACGAGTTTTCCGGGGTTGGCTTAGGCTTAGGCTCAGGCTTGAGCTTAGGCTCAGGCTTGGGCTTAGTTTGGTCAACGGTTTTTGCTAGCAGGGCAAACTAGCAAAGAAAATTGCGGAAAACTCGTGGTACCCTAAAAAAGCCGCCTGAATCCGTGGCGCCACCCATTTATCGCATATTGCACATGCCGGCGAGGACGGAAACAGCAATGTGCTCCTTCTCCGTCAGCTCGGTCGTCCGCTGGTTGAGCAGCTTCAGAAGGGCCGGGTCGGCCAGCTGGTGCGGGTCCTGCAACGGGAAATTGAGCTCGAGAGTGCGAGCGATAGAGAGAGAGCAGGAGAGAGCGAGAGGGAGCGAGAGCGAGAGAGAGAAATAACGTTTTTTAATCACTATAACAATCATACCTTAAATGGCGGCGACCCGGGCCGGGGGGACAGTTCAGACAGTTCAGAAACGGAATCGGCAGGCGATACCGTAACCGGGGGACTCCACAGGGTTGGAGGGGTTGGTTGGGGCAGTTGCTGCGCACCGAGTTGCGTCTGTCGCTGCGGGGCGAGTCCTGAAACGTGTGGTAATCTACCTATATCCAGCAATATGCTGTATTTGCATTTTCTAGAAAATTAGAATGTCGAAAATTGATTTTGTAAAAATGTCGATTTGTCGATATTTTGTCGAAACCTCATTTTGTCGGCATTTCGTTTTGTCGAAATTTATGGATGTCAAAATGATAATTTGCCGCGATTTTAGCTTGGCGGTATTCCGATTTTTCCTAATTTTTATTTAAATGCTGTCTCAATAAAGTGAAATGCCGACAAGTGAAATATCGACAAAAATGAAGTTTCGACAAAAAATGAATGTTCGTCAAGAATAAAATAAAGCTTCGATTGACGTTTTCGACAAAATCAAATTGTGGCAAAATGAAATGCCGACAAAAAGGGAAATACCGACAGAAAAGCAATGTCGACAAAATCAAATTACGAGGAAAAATAGTCGACAAAAGTGCTTTTCGACATGTTAATTTCGGTATATTTCCCAAAAACCGTATAAATCATATCAACGCGTACCGTAGTAATCGCCATGGCTAAAGTTGTGAAACAGCTGAGTCGTACGGTAGTACTCACCCGGATTCTGAGCGGCGACGGCGGCCGCGTTGGCGGCTTGTTGAATGAGTTGTTGTTGGGCGTACTGTTGCAGTTGCTGCATTTGGAGGTGTTGAAGGAGTTGCAGCAGCATGTTTTGGTCTAACATCTTTTGGTCGAGTTGGGGCTGTTGTTGGAGAAGCAGGTAGCTCGCGGTCAGCTGAAAATGGGAAATTTGCATGAAAAATTGAGAATTCTCACGGAATCTCGGCTAGCCTGTTTTTTCTAATGATCTCTGCTAGCCTGCCAATTCCAAAAAATCTCTGCTAGCTTCCCGTTCCTTAAGAATCTTTGATAGCCTTCGATTCCTAAATGGTCTTTGCTAGCTCATGAGACTGAGGGCAAGATTGGCTTAGGGTTAGATTTAAGCTTATGCTTGGCTTAGGCTTAGGCTCAGGCTTAGGCTTGGCTTGGGCCTCGTTGGCTTGACTTGGCTTATGCCTTGACTTAGGCTTAAGCTCACCTGTTGTAGCGTCTGCTCATCCATGGCAGTCGGCGGGGCGATATTCTGCTTCTCGTGCATCTTCTGCTGTTCCTCCTCCGTGTTCTGCGCGTCGCCGAGGTTTCCGGTCGTCTGGGAGGGCAGGGGGATGCCTCCTGAAAAATTTTAGGTACGAAATCATACCTTAAATCTGATACTTTTAGCGTTAAGACAAAGAAAGGGAAGAAAGGCAAGATTTTCAGAGAAAAATAAATAAAACCGGAGAAAGGAAGAAATTAGAGTCGTACGTATATTTCTTCTTGTCCTTTTTTCAGCTAGCAAATGTGAGATGGGCGTTCACAAGGAAGCGCAGGAAAAAGAAAAATCGATACTCTCAACTTTCCTATCCCACACACAGCCAACCACACAAAAAGTGGGACCGTCGCGCGCCCCGGGGGGTAGGGGATGGGAAAAGCGGAAAGCAGCAGGGGGCTAGCAGGGATTCTTTGTGCAAAGGCTAAAGCAGAGCGCTAAAAAGGCAGACTAGCAGAGATTCTTTGTGGATATTTGGCTACAGGAAATGGTTAGAAAACCAGGCTTACAATGATTCGTTGTGGAAACGGAGAAACAGCCAAGCTAGCAGGGATTCTTTGTGGAAATTTCAGTAGAAGAGTGTTCTAAAGATTAGCTAGCTGAGATTCTTTCGGAAGCGAAACAAAAGTTGGCAAGGCAAACAAGCAGTGATTCCTTAGGAAAATTAGAAAATGAGGCGAGGGCAAGCTATCAGCGATTTTTTAGGAACATCGGAGCGTCAATTACCAGAAAGGCAAACCAGCAGAGATCCTTGAAAAAATCCCTCTGGAAACTACAAACTACGATATCTAGTAGTACGCGCTAAACCTCGCTACGGCAGGTGGTGAAAGGGGTGTAAGGAGGGTTGGGGTGGAACCTGCGCCGAATTGGGGCCGCGGGACTACAAAATCAGCCACCTGCCACCGGGTGTCACTCGTACAGTTGTGTACTATAGTCGGAATAATGGAGCGGAGAGGAGGGGTGGAATATTGGAAATGGGATTTCCGGGAGAATACAATGGACAGAGTGGGAAGTGGGGAGAGAGAGCGAGAGAGAGAGAGAGAAAGAGAGAGAGAGAAATGAGTTTTAAAGGGATAGAGATTGCAAGAATCATAATCGACAATGTTCCAAAACTGTACTATTCCTCCTATTTTGCGCCAAACCGAAGCGAAAGAGCCGAATTGACGCATCGGCCGGGCGGTGGGAAA